GTGCATCTGGTATCATAGTTGCTTCTCCAATTTTATGGACTGGCTTTTATAGGGACGGAGTTTTTCCTATAGATGTATCTATAGTGTTGGTTGGGTTTGACTTTGGCTTTGATTCTGGGTGGACACAGCAGTGTAGTCTCCATATGATTTCTTCAGCTGTAATCAGCATCAGTCATGTTTGTGAGTTAGTCAGTGACTTAGGCTATTAGTGGAGGCTATGGTGAGGCTTTGCTGGGGACAGGGATGCCAGATGAGCCAGTCTTTGGGTACCAGTGGTGGTGATAGCAGGCCAGCATGCCAGCTTTTGGGCCCTCGGGTGGCATTAACAAGCACTCATGGTAGTAGGTCTAGGTGGGCCAATCCTTGGTCAGTGGTAGCAGTGGGCCAGGTGGGTGGGTGGGTCCTCGGGCCCTAAGTGGTGTATGTGGCATCAGTGATGGCAGTAGCAGCAGTGGCCCAACTCTTAGGCCCCAAAGCCTCACATGGGAGTGCCAGTGGTGGTGGTGGTGGGCCAGTCCTCAGGTCCTCAGGTGGCACATGGGTGAGTTCTGGCAGTGGTGGCAGGCTGGGTGGGCCTGTCCTCAGGTTCCCAAAAGGCAAATTTTAATGTAGTTGCTGGCAGTGGTGGACAGGGCAGGGCAATCTGTAAGCCCCCAGATGATGTGCATGGGTGCTGGGAGTGGCAAGCGGGGCAGGCCTGTCTTTAGATCCCTTGATGACATGTGTGAGCACAGGGGTGGGCTGGTCCCCAGGCCCCCTGATGGTGCATGTGAGCACTGGCAGTGGGTGGGGCAGGTCTGTTGTCAGGCCCCCCTGATGGTGCATGCAGCCATCAATATTAGTGGATGGGGCAGGTTGATCCCTAAATCCCCCCAACGACACACGTGGTTGCCAGTGGTGGTGGCAACAGATTGGGCAGGCCTGTCCTTAGACCCCTGGAAGACATGTATGGGCGCCAGTGGTGACTGGTGGATGAGTCTAACCCCAGATCCCGCGACAGCATACATGGGCACCAGTGGTGGTGGGTGGGGCAGGCCTGTCCTCAGGCCTCACGACGCCACCTGGTGGGCTGATCTTCAGGCCCTCTGAAGGTGTATATGGGTGTCTGGTGGCCCTGCTGCTGGGGAAGTGGCAGAGTTGCTGACAGTGGCAGCAGCTGCAGGCAGGTGGCTCTTGGGTTCTGGGGAGCTTGTGCGTCAGCCCCTTGGCCCTGGGGACAGCCTCCCTGGTGCACTGCATCACCTGTTCCCCAGGGTGTAGGACACTGTGTGGATTAGAGTGCTGTGGACACAGCTGCACCACTGAGTCCAGGGAGTGTTGTGAACCTGCAGCCTTTTGAGTAGACATGAGGGGTGGGTGTTAGCAGGGCTCCAGGGATGTGGAGAAGTAGGGGCTGTTGGACCCCAGGGCAAGATATAGTCTGATGGGGGCTGGGCTCTCAACATGGCGCCATGCTGCAGCTGCTTGGGTCTGGGGGGCTGGAGGCTGTGCGATTCAGTGTGAACGCCGTCTCTGGAGCAATACCGTTATGTGGAGTCCAGGTAGCTTCCTATACGAGTCTCAGGGTCCAAATGGCTCTCCCATGGCTAGCATTACCAAAGTCTGCAGTGGAATATGGACCACTGGGATCTCTCAATTACCTTTTCCCGCATTGGGAAGTTTCTCCTGGCTCCAAGCTGACCCTAGCACGGCCAACTGCTTTGTTTCCCTCTATTTCCGTGCCTCAGAGATCCTCTGTCCCTCTTTTGCTGGATTCCAGTGTTCTTTCTTTGATGCTCTATTCAACTTGTGATAGTCTGCTTATTGTTTGGGCCCATCTTTGTTAGGGAGGCAAGTTCTGGGTGCCTCTAGCCAGCCATCTTGAAGCCCATAATAATTTTTCTGGGAGACACGGTCTCACTCTGTTTCCCAGGCCCCAGGCTAGAGTGTGGTGATATGATCATGACTCAATGCGGTCTCAGCGTCCTGGGCTCAAGTGATCCTCCCACCTCAGCCTCCTGAGTAGCGGGGACTACAGGCGCACACCACCATGCCCGGTGAATTTTCTCTATTTTTTGTAGAGACTTGGTTTCCCTATGTTGTTCAGGCTGGTCTTGCACTCTTGGGCTCAAGTGATCCTCCCATCTTTGCCTTCCAAAGTCCTAGGATTACAGGTGTGACCTACCATGCCAGCCAGCCTACAATAATTCCTAAAGCAAGTAAATGTATTAATCAGAATTCTGAGTGGCAGAGACCAATTCAAACTAGTTTATGCAAAAATCAAGGCATTTAATGTTTGTAACACCAAATCACAGGAGTGGATGTGACTTCAGAGATGATTGGATCCAGGGAGCCAGATGCTATCAAGACTCTCCTCTTGCTTTATCCCTTCTCTCTCTCTCTCTCTCTCTCTCTCATTGACCTTGTTAGACACTGGCAATCCTAGACTCACATTCTTATAGCATTGTAACCAATGAGAAGAGAGCACTTCTGACTCCAGTGCAGGGAATCCCAGGCCTATCCTGGACCACTTGCTTATCCTTTGTTTGGCAGGTAGGGATATAAACCATTGAATTTGCCTGGCCTGGTCAGCCCCCACCCCTGTAGTGGTCAGAGAGTGCTTTGGATACAGTAAGTAGCTTTATGGTTGAGGGGAAGAGGCATGGTTTCCCAAGAGAAGAAGGGTGTGGTTCTGGGAAGACAAACAATAGACATCCACTAGTTTGCAGATGAAACAGGCTCACAGAGACTAGGCACAGAGCTCACTCAAGGTCACACAACTATCAAGGAGCAGAGAAGAAATCCTTTTAGGTTTCAAGACACACCGACTCCCTAAGTGACCAGGTGTGGTGAGTGGCATGGGTTGCTGAGGTGTATTGTGGAATTTTCAGCAAAGACCTCACTAAGGCATTTGTATTTCTGAATTGGTGTTTATCCTCCTTAGAGGGAAAAAGAGGAACGTGGTGACTCTTGGTGTCCTTCAGGCCTAGATGAGTGGGTGAGCATCACAATTATCCTTTTGTTCATGTTTCTTCCTCCTCTTATTGTATTCCTTTTGCAACATAAAAGGGTTAATATATGAGACACTATACAAATGCAAATCCAGATTATAGGGCTTATGTCTCCTTTGAAGGACATGGTAGCCTTTAACATTTTTAAAATGGTATTTAAAAGACTTGACCCAGAGAGGGAGAGCGAGCCAAGGAGCATATTCATAAATCTCAGCTTACCCCAGTGTCTGTCTGAATAAACATCTTCAAGTTAAACCGTGGTTGGGTGGGAAGTGACTTCTTTATGTAGGTGAATCCATCAGTCCTCCTAACCTTTCTTGGAGGAATGTGGTTATTGTTTTTTTCCAGCAAACTTAGGGAAACCAGATGTTCAATGCTTAATGAATGAGCTGCAAAATGGGTCCACTAAAGTATTTTGGGGGTCAGCTGTTTCTCTCCAGCTGTGTGGAGGGCAGAGACAGCAGCAGCTTCTACAAGTGGCTTGTAAGTCTGGGGACACGCAGGCCACTTCTGTTTTCTCTTGATGTGCTAGCTGGAGGAAAGGGCAGATGTTTCATTGTTAACGGAAGATTCTAGTGCTTGGTGTCTGTGCTCAGTCTAAGAAAGACACCCAGACAGCCATTCCTGCCTCGCTATGCCGCTTCCTTCAGTTTTGCTGATACCTACACTTCAAGTCATCCCCCTGGGAGAGAATTGGTGGTCTGGTTAAGAGGGAAGGTCTGTGTGAAGACTGAAGAGCTATTACTGCTTTAGAATCCTTGAGCCTATTCAGGTTATCCAAATAAATAACAGTGTCAAGAAAAAGTATGGCATGTAAGTTTTTGTTTCAAAGCACTTGAGAGACTATTGGACTATTGCCTTGAAAAGCAACTTGCATTTTGCCTGGAAGGCTAAATGTGTGGGAATGCTGAAGGATAACTTCAAGTTTTAATTTTCCTTATTGCTAAGCTATTTAATTCTGTGGACTAGGGAGAAGAAACATAAGGAAGAGTCACCCTTTTTATCTTTATCATTTTAAAGAGCTTTTTGGTTCCTATGGGCCAGTCTTGGCTGTGGCAACACCATTCACTCATTCATTCATTCATCTGACAAAAATTTTCAAATACATGCCACATGCCATGTGGTGCAGTGGAGACACAGTAAGGAATATGACTTGGTTTCTGCACTCACGGATTTCAACAGAGGGCTGTTGGCAAATCCAGGAAAGGCCATTTGTTTGTGCCTCGTCCGGGCATGACTAGGGGACATTTATAAAGGAGAGGGTGCCATAGAACTGGGGTTGGAGAAAGGGCAGGAGTGATGCATTGGACAAAGAGCAGGAAGATCTTCCAGGCGGGGGAAACATTGCGTGAAAAGACACAGGACTATAGGAGACTCTGATGCATTTGGGGAACTATACGTAGTTGAAGCAAGATCTCTGTGCCTGAGAGATGTCTTGGCTGGGGTTGTCTCTTGGCTCAATACCACAAGAAGGAAGGGGGCTGAGAAAAGTGGCAGTCAGCTACATCCAAGCGACTCTGCAGCTCACCCTGACCAGTCTTCTTTCCCCTCCAGCTCCCACCTATTTTGACGCGTGGGAAGTATTCCCAACAGGGTTTGAGTCAGGGGCCCCTGCCAACATTGATAATTAACTGAAGAAAGTACAGAAGAGAAGTAAGAATGAATCTTGTGTTTATTAAATTGCTATCGGTAAAACACAGCATTATGAGGGGGCGGAATGAGAAACTGAAGCGTGGGGAAATTGAGTGTGGTCCTTGCAGTCGTTTTGTTTTTAGTTGCAGTTAGGATACTAATTCGAGGTGGTGTTTGATGTTTCAAAACAAACTATGAAAATATGAGGGAGTGATAATAAATGACAAACCCAGGCAGTCCAGAGGTCACTTTCAAATGTAAAGGCATTTCTGCCACTTATGACGGTTTTATGTGAAAAGTGAAATTTTGAAATGAAGATGAGGATTAAAGTGTAAGAGGAAAACATGTGGCAAAGATTCCATTATTTTTTCTGAATAGGTGTCAGAACATCAAAGATAACACCATCGGCATCGAGGAGAACGCAGTCTCCCTGACCTGTCGCTTTCACGTCACCGTCTTTAAATTCATAGGGGATTACGACGAAGTTCACCTTCACTGTGCAGTGTCACTCTGCGACTCAGAAAAGTACTCCTGTAAAATCGTAAGTGAGAATGTGAAAACAAAGTGCTTAGCCTTATTTCTCACTGTCTCGGTTTCCCAACATGAAGATCGTGAATGCCAGGTGGCCGGACTGGAAGCATCCATAGATGCTTGGGGTGGACAATCATCTTTGATGGGATAGTGAGAGAAAACACGGGGAAATATATCTATTTACTCTTCTATCTCTGAATTGTCAACCAGTCATGGGCTTAATGCTAGACTAGGGTTTCTCAAAGCTCGGCACTGTTGACATTTTGGACGGAATAATTCTTTGTTCTGGAGGACTGTTGTGTGCACTGTAGGATGTTAGCAACATTCCTCACCTCTACCCATGGATACTAATCACACCTTCCCCCAGTTTCAACACCCAGAATGTCTCCGGATGTTGCCAGTTGGCCTGGCTGAGAACCACTGCACTAGAATCTCAAGGAGCCAGGCGGCCTGACTCTAACGACCATTGGGCCAAGTTCCACTACAGAACCAAACTCTTGAGCTCAGGATACAGTTTATCCAGGTGTCCTGCAGCTCACCTGATCTACATCAGGACTCTGGAGGGGATGAGGGATGAAGTAGCAAACTAATCATCTCTTCTGTGCCCGGCTTCCACCCCCACCACTTACGGGCTGGGTCCTTAAGATTCGATTGCCTGATACCTGGCCCCTAGCCTTTAACATTGCAGCTTTATGCTAACACCATGTTTGCAGAATCAAGATGTGAATTATGGTCAGGGTAACTTACAGATGATACTGCAGACATTAGTGCCTGATGAGATACAGCAATCCTATTCTTGGGCAGGGAGCCTCTTTGAATCTCATTCCAGTGTGGCTCCATCAGAAATGAAGGAGAGATTTTTAAAAAGGAAAAAGTACTAATTCCAGTGTGGAGAGTGTGTTTAATTCTGTTCAACACACAGCCTAGAGTCCCAGTGGATTCGATGATCAAGAATGCATTGGTTCTAATTAGTCTGAGCAGCAATAATGCTTGAGGCCAGAGTCACTGCCTCTTTTAGAGGTGAAAGCATGGTGAAGAATAAGTTACCAGCTTAATTGTGTGAAATTTTTCCCCTGGTGTTCTGTCTTGCAGACTTGCCCACAAAATTCCAGGAGTGCCACAGATTACACAAAAGAACCCAAAGAACAGATCATTTCAGTGGGACCTATTAGGAGAAAAAGTATGTATGTTCTCTAAAACACACCCTAGATTATTAAAACAATGGGATTTGAAGGCTCAGACGTGTTTCACCTCTGATGTGGGTCCAGTGGATGAGGAGGCTGGTGTTGGGGACACCGGTTTGAGAACAGCACCCACTTCCTTAAAGACATCTTTTCATTGACATAAACATTCAACAATGGCATTGAGCTTTTCTTTGTCCTTCTCTTTTTTTTTGGGGGGGGGTGGTTTGGGGGAATTGAGTCTCGCTCTGTCTCCCAGGCTGGAGTGCAGTGGTGCGATCTTGGCTCACTGCAAGCTCTTCCTTCTGGGTTCCTGCCATTCTCCTGCCTCAGCCTCCCGAGTAGCTGGGACTACAGGCGCCCGCCACCACGCCCAGCTAATTTTTTTGTATTTTCAGTAGAGACAGGGTTTCACCGTGTTAGCCAGGATGGTCTCGATCTCCTGACCCTGTGATTCGCCCACCTTGGCTTCCCAAAGTGCTGGGATTACAGGCATGAGCCACCGCACCCAGCCTGTCCTCCTCTCTTTTTAAAGCCTTGCCCTTCGATACCAGTGGAAGGGTTGAACTGTGTGTAGTTAATCTTCCTAACTGCTCTTTTGTAGGGCTGGACTGGTGTGAGGACAATGGAGGGTGTGAGCAGATTTGCACGAGCAGGGTGGACGGGCCTCTCTGCAGCTGTGTAACAGGAACCCTGCAGGAGGATGGCAAGAGCTGCAGAGGTAGACACTCTTCTACCTTGGGGCAGGGCAGCTAGGGGACACGGGAGATTCTTTACCCCAGAAGGAGAAATTCAGATTTGAAGCCCACTAGGTCAGCAACTCTCCCTCAAAAACTCCAGAAATTAAGGAGGAAAGATGGGGAACATACCCAAGGAATTCTAGGGCCATTAAACAAACAACAACAACAACAAAAGAAAACCTTGCTTTTTCACCTCAAATATAAAGGTAATTTAAAAAACAAGTTATCCAGCCATTTAAGGACCATATATTGGCCTACATCTGGCTGTCAAGTCTGCTTGGGCTAAGATTGGGATTGGGATGCTTCCTCCAGCAAACAAGCCTTAGCACATGGTTTCCCTGACCTCTAATGAGGTTGGCAGGACTCTCTTCTTTTTTGAGATGGAGTCTCACTCTGTCACCCAGGCTGGAGGGCAGTGGCACGACCTCAGCTCACTGCAACCTCTGCCTCCTGGGTTCAAGCGATTCTCCTGACTCAACCTCCCGAGTAACTGGGACTATAGGCACACGCCACCACGCCCAGCTAATTTTTGTATTTTTAGTAGACACGGGTTTCACCATATTGGCCAGGCTGGTCTCAAACTCCTGACCTTGTGATCCGCCCGCCTTGGCCTCCCAAAGTAGGACTCTCTTAAAGATTGGGTTAATTCTGTTACTTTGCTGCCTTAGGGTCATTTGGGTAAAATGGGTTCTTGGCAATGAAGTTTCCTTTTTTAGCTGAGTGCTGCAAAGATGTCTCATCCCTATCAAACAGGTATTTTTTTTCCCCATAGGGCTTACTGTGTTCCTCTCTGTTCACAGCCTCTAATTCTTCAGTCGAACTCCAAGTCTGGACGCTTCTTCTCGTCATGATCCAGATTTCATTATGGCATTTTGTCTATAAATCAGGCATGATATCATAATTAACTCAAAGTTGCTATATAAAGTACTGTAATTTACTTACTTCAACTCCCTGTAGGATAAAAAGTGTGTGCCCTTAAGTCAAAACCTATTTGAAAGTGTCCAGCATCTCAGAATGATGCCACCTGTCTCCAACGGTCTGAGGTCCAGAAACCAGCAAACATGCAAGCTCCTCTTTCAGAATATGAAACGGAGCTTCTACAAGTCAGTTATGGAAAGTATATCTCCTGTGAAAAATTTCCAAACAGTTGTCACTAGAAACTTTGGTTCACATGAAAAACCAGTAAAGGAAAAAAATTCTGGTTAGAGAAATCTGACTGGAAATCTGACCAGAGAAATCTGTCAAGCCAGTGCTATTTCTGGATCATGTTTTTTTACAGAGAGAGCCTGTTGGAATGATTTTGAAGTGATGACTGGAAGGTTTGACTCCCTCTAAGGAATCTTGCTGGCGTTTGGAAGTGTCTGATCTATGATATGTATGTGTTCTGTCTATGAGGCGCTCTCCACCCACTGTGTCCTTCAACCTTGCCATGGCAGCTTTGGCCGCTGGGGATACTGCTGACCTGGGGAACCCCACCCACTCTCCTACCCCCTCGAACCCAATCCCTTCTCTTTTTACAAATCAACCAAATACTTTTTAATGTGTTTTATCCTTAAATAAACTTTGTGTTCAAATATTCTCATTACTTGGTGGCTGGAATAATTCTTATTGATGTTAGGCTTTGTACACTAAAGAGCATGCCATGAATTTTTTTTTTAAAGAAATAGCAGCAATTGGACCAGGCAGGCACTGTTGGCCAAAACGTTAATGCACCGTTATATTGCTGTTCGTGTGTACTTACAGAGCATTAGCAGAGCATTAAGGTACGGTGTAGAAGAGAAGCAGGCAGCATCCTCTTTTGTAAGTGGTACACAAACACATATCTGCTATAATTAACTACAAAATGGAGGCCCTACTAAATATATCCCTGGAATGCTTTGCTTTTTAAGGGCAAAAACAAAGTAAAACCCACTTCAGGTTTATTTTGAAGTTGCCTTGGATTTAAACGGATCGCATTTTTGTATTTTTCTGGGAACTCTGAAAAGCTGAGCAAAAATGCTTAGTGCTCTTGAACGTGAGTGTGGGTGAAATGGCCATTGTCTCATATGTCAAAGCACTGGCATCATACTGTCACTAGGCTGAAGAAGTGGGGTGCAGACTGACTGTGCACTGAGCTGTTTTGTTCTCCCAGCCCCCTGGGAGAATCAACACATTCCAGCTTACCTCAGCAGTCACACATGCTATGCAGCTAAGCGGACAACTGGTATTGATGGAGAAGAATATGTGTCTGCTTCTGCTTGGACATCTTAAGATCTTTTGGGAAAATACTGAGCACTGAGATGGATTAAGGAATCAAACCATTGTCTATTCTAGCTGAGACACAGTACTTCTTCCTCACCAAGACAGAAATGAATGTTAGGCGTGTGTTCTTTGTTTGCATGAAAGCCTGGATTCCAGACTATCCCACACTTCAGGATCGGAGGATTGAGATGCGCTTATGCACCATTTCCATTCACACCATTAAAGGGTTAGGCTTTTGAAATCAAACATTATGAGTTGAATACAATAATGTCTGATTTATGGTTTTACCTGAGATCCTTAAATGATTTTTTTTTTCCCCCGAGACAGAGTCTCACTCCTGTTGCCAAGGCTGGAGTCTATTAGCATGATCTTGGCTCATTGCAGCCTCAACTTCCTGGGCTCAAGTGATCCTACCACTTCAACCTTCTGAGTAGCTGGGATTACAGGCACACACCACCATGCCCGGCTAATTTTTTATATTTTTAGTAGAGATGAGGTTTTACCGTGTTGCCCAGGCTGGTCTCGAAGTCCTAGGCTCAAGCAATCCACCCACCTTTTCCTCCCAAAGTGCTGGGATTATGGGCGTGAGCCACCATGCCTGCCTTTTTAGATGAATTTTAACTGAAAACATACAAGGAAGAAATGGTATATTACTTACTTGACAGCACCTCTTTATTGATTCCCATATTAAAGTCATTAGAGATTCCTCGATTAAAAATTCTAGTTCTTTTTTTTTTAAAAAAAGCTTTTTAATTGAAATCCTTTTCGCCACACTTTCATTCTTGGCTTTTGGTTTTCTCGCTTAGTTGGCATCCTTCACATGTCTACCATCAGGATAAACCTGGTTGTAATGATGCAACAGAAAACCCCAGGCCGGGTGTGGTGGCTTATACCTATAATTCCGGCACTTTGGGAGACCCAGGCAGACAGATCTTGAGCCCAGGAGATTGAGACCAGCCTGAGCAACATAGTGAGAACCCATCTCTACAAAAAAATACAAAAATTAGCCAGGGGTGGTGGCGCATGCCTGTAGTCTCAGCTACTTGGGAGGCTCAGTTGGGAGGATCACTTGAGCCTGGGAGGTAGAGGCTGCAGTGAGCTATTATCATGGCACTGCAATCCAGCCTGGACAACAGAATGAGATTTTGTCTCAAAAAAAAAAAAAAAATAGAACACCCCACAATTTCAGTGACTTACCAAGGTTTCTTTCTTGCTCACGCAAGTCACCCCTGCTTTCGTTGTCATCCTAGAATGGAAGTTGCTGGAGACTTTATTATCCTTCATTGTTGTCAGCTCAATGTGTGGCTTCAAGATTCACCTTGGCAAGGGAAGACAGCATGGAGAATCCCACCCTAGCTCTTCCGTGCTTCTGCCTGAAGTGACACGTATTGCTTCTGTTCCCACTTCATTGGTCAATGCAAGCCAGATGGTTGTAACTGACTTTTAGAGATGAGGAAGCACCAACTTCCCGTGTGCCCGGAAGGCAGAAGAGCTGGAAATCAGTGGTGATAGTGCTCACATTGCCTTCGAGCCAATCACTTCTATCTGGATTAAAGAGAAATACTTCTACAAAACTGAAAACAAATGGGCCCTTTAGTTGACTTCCTGGAAGGCAGAAGAACTGAGAGATGATCCTGACTCTTCTACTAATTCTCTGCTTGAAATGCAAATTATTACATGCCTCAATACCTTAATTTTCCTGTATGTAACACATAAGAACATGAAGCTTCTTTTCAAATGTTCTTATGTCACAAAGTGACACTAGACACTTGACCTGGGAACCCTACCCACTTTCCTACCCCCTCGAACCTAATCCCTTGTCTTTTTACAAAGAGAAGCCATATGATAGTATATGTTAAGATAACTTCAGAGCATTGCCTTTTCCTGCTGCTCTGAAAGATTTGCTTGCGGGGTAAAGGGGTGGGAAAGTGCAGGCTTAGCAAAGGTTGAAAAGGAAGTTAATTGGGAATCTTATTGACTTGGTATTTGTTTGATATCAAAAGAAACAACATCTTTGGGTCTGGCATTTGTGACCACTAGGAATTCTGTAGTTTCTTAACCAGTAGTAGGTATGTATTCTACTCAAAATTCTAATGACAAAACTTTAGAGTGCTAATTGTTTAACATTGTCTAATATTCTAGCTATTTTTAGAACCATTTGACATTTAGTGGGAGCTTGAAATCTAATAAAATTTCTTTCAACGAAAGGAATTAAGTAATTATCAAAAGATGACAATCATGCAGGGCTAGGGTAATAAAGAATTACTTCTTTACTAATTCTGAATTAATTTACCATCCACCGTGTTTTGAACTTCCCAGCCTTTCTCCTAAAACTCAGGGGATCTCTACAGCTTGTATTTCATTGCAGTTTGGGCCTGTTTAGAAGACCATGCTGGCATTTTGCAGTGCCCCATACACTGACATCAGCTGCACAGTCCAGTGAAAAAGGAAATCAAACAGCACCCTCTAGTGTCTGCTTTTTGTTTTTGCATGAAGCTCAAATGTGTATTGAACCACACCAATCAAATTATGATTCCCGTCCCCTGCCCCACTGCCACCCTGAAACCTTAGATGCAGAACATTACGAGAATATAGCTTTAGAAAGCACATCAAATGCCAAGGACGTTTTCTGGAGAACAGTATGGGATTTATTTTTATGCATACAGTATGCATTACTCCAGGAAATACCAGCACTTGGCATCCCATGCAAATTTTGCCCTTAATATTTGTTTCTCTAACGTGTTGACAAAAATAGCTGTCAAGAAAAATTAAGTATCTCCTTAAAATGTTGAGAAATAAACAATCTGATCAAGAAAAACCCAGGCAATATTTAATGGTATTTTCTTCCCCCCAGCAGAATGTGAAATACTTTCACATGCATCTACAGCACAACAGCGATAACTCTGTTCTGACTAATGGAAGGCTCTGTTTGTGATGGTTTAATTATGTTTGCTGAAATACGACTCTCATATAAGACAACATCTCCATGGCAGAGGGACAGATCTCTGTGTCTATAGATAGAAATAAAATACAAAAGACTCATCATTCCATGAAGAACTCAGCAATCAAATTCTATTTGCTAAGGAAACAAATGGAGGAAGAATGTTCACTGTACATTTCATTGTGTGTTTCTGTTTGCATCTAGCCTGTAGGTTAGCTTTTGTTTTCTTCAGTAGCATAAGATACTGATGGTGAAATAGTTTTGAAATTAAGATAGTCTACCATTGGATGAAATAACAATCCCTTATGCAAATGTAGCATCTTTCATAACTAATGCTTTGCCACTGTATTTAATATTTTTCAATCCTAGATCATGCTGCATTCTGACAGAGAAATTAGAGGAAAAGTATTAAGTTGAAGTTTTATATATCCAAAAGTGCTAACTAAAGAACATAGACCCACTCATATATGTATGCTTGTATGTGCAGGTTTGTTTAGTAATTTTTAACTTCTAATGAGACATATTAGGATGATAGTGACCTTTTGAGACTTTTAAGAACAAACAAACTTACAATTCTTTATTTTCTTCCCGTAACTTTTGCATTCCTTTGTGGAATACTTTAGGGTACAAAAATACATCGATATTGCCCTATTTTAGTTGGGCAAAAATATATTATTTTACTGAAAAAGATAACATTTAATTTAAGTCTTGAAACCTTTGCAGTGGCTCAACCTAGAATTAGTGGAATTATTTAAATTTAAAGACTGTAGTCACATAGAAATTTGCTACTGAGTTAATTATATGTTAACCAAAAGCAGAAAAAAACCAGGTTCCTAGTGTTTCCCTCTTATCTGCCACAAACATTCTTAATTTAACAGGCCATCCTGGTCCTTAAATTTGGTTTATATAACTACATGGGTCATTCAAATCAAGAAGTTACAAGCGTATATTTATTCACACTTTCCATGAGTCTCTACGTTGATGACTGCAAAATGCTGTTAAGGAATATCTGCAGCTGTGCAGGGGACAGAGTCTGCTCTCCTGAAAAGTCATGATCAGAAAGCAATTTGGCAAACTAATTCGACAAGGGGAAAATGACTTAACATATAATGCGGAAGCATCTAGGTGTCAAATCAGAATATTCAAAGCATAAAATGAGAAAAAGGGCTGTAGATAGCACATAACCCAGTTTTTATCCTTAAAAAAGCCCCATATTTGAAATGCTTACCTTGAACCTCCAAGAGAGAAGAATGGAAGTATTCTGAATATTAATTTAACGTTAGCAGAAATGCAGTGAGTCTAGAGATACTTGGCCACTATGGATTTTATTCATGTCTCCTGTTGTTACCTGTTCTGTTTGTATTCTCAACCTGGTCGTGTTGATACACAATTACTTTCATTAG